CCCCCCGCCCCGGCTCCCCCCTTCCTCCTGCCGGCCCCGGAGCCGCCGAGCTCGTACCTGTGCTCCAGCTTCTTGCGGCTGATGCACATGGCGCGCTGGTAGCCCTGCGCCACGCACACCTTGTGCCGGCTGCACTTCACCTTCTGGCAGGGGTCCTTGGTGGTGTCCAGGGCTGGGGGGACAGAGGGGGGACTGGGGCAGGCGGGGACGCCCCAGGGGAGCCCCGGCAGCGCTGGCCGGCAGCCGACCCGGCACAAAGCGCCATTCAGGCCGCAGCTGGGCAGCCGCCTCGGCACCAGCTGCTGCTGCACGGCTCGCCCCGACCCCACCAGCGCTCCCAGCCCGAAGGGAAAAGCCCGGGGGGTGCGAGCAGAGGGTGCAGCCCCCCCACCCCCGTCATACTGGCTGGCACCGAGCCCACCGTGCCCCATCCCGAACCCATCTCAGCGGTACCTTCATCCCCGGGCTGGTTGTCCTCCCAGCTCTTGATGTAGTCATCCTGCGAATTGGGGAAGAGCCCGCGTGAGCGCCGGTGGCGGGGGAGGCGACACCGGGCCAGGCGTGCCATCACCCGGCTCGGAGCCACCGGCCCGGAGAGGCTCCCGCTGATCACACCCCCCTGGGCACCCCCACAGCGGGAGGCAGGGACGGGCCAGCCTCCCCCCCACAAGCGGGGTGTCACCCCCTCGGTAGCCCCTCGAGGCTCACCTCCACCTCCTGGCAGCACGGCAGCGAGATGGCCCAGCCGGCACCGAGAAAAGAGAGAGAGAGAGCGCCCACCGTGAGCTCTGGGACAGCCCAAAGCGCTGCTCCCGCTGTGCCCCAAGCCACAGCGACAGGGCACCCCGACCTGCCGGTGCCCAAAGCTCTCGCCACCAGCCCTGGGTATCACTGGCACCGACCACCAACGTGCTCACCCTTCTCTGGCTCTAGACCTGTAATCCTGGAGAGCTTTTTCACAGGATAAAGCCTTCCCCCACCAGCCAGCTGGGAAAGCCGAAATGGCATCGGGTGGAGGATGATCCCATGCCTCACTTGGGAGCCCAGTGAGGACCACAGGGGATCCCACCCCGATTCTTCAATCGTGAGCCCAGAAGGAGTGGGCCAAGATGGATGTCGCTGTCTGGGGAGGCAGAACTGCTGCCACAGGGCCCCGAAAGCATCGCGGGGGTGTGGGGGAGTAGCAGGGACTCCAACCCTCCCGGCAGGCAGCATCCCCCTCCCCACGGGATGCTCCGGGGTGGGCTTTGCGGTAAAGCAGGAGCATCCCTGCCGCCCCGGGGAAGGTGGGCAGGGTCTGGGATGGCAGCTGGAAGCAGCGGCACGGGAGGCAGCTCTGGAGGGGATGTCTCGCTCCAGCACGGCCGTGTTTGCACCGCAATCGATAGCCGCGTTCCCGTGCCGTGATTGGTAACACTGCGGCGCCCGACAGCTCCCTGCGGCCGCCGGCCTCCTCCCCGTGCATCCCCCCAGCGGTGCTGCTCAGTCGAAAACCCCACAAATCCATGGATTTGCTTATTAATCCAAGCTAACAGCCAGCAGGGCTGCAGCCCCCCGCAGCTCGGCAGCAGGGTGGGCCCCACGTGTGCTGCCAGCGCCCGGGGATGGGGATCCCTCTGCCCTGAACCCCCGGGGATGCTCAGTGCACGTCCACAAGTGCTCCCCTCGAGCACCCGCAGCCATCCCAGGTCCCAGCTGCCCAGTGCTGGCGTTGGCCAGCGGGGGTGTTGCGGGCAGGGATCTCCAGGGGGAGGAATTTACACCTTTGCACCCTCACCCGTGCTCTGCCACCCTAACTGCTTTATTTCGGGGATGGTGCCCCCCGCCCAGCCCTGCGGTGAGTATATCTCCCTTGCTGCCATCCGTCCGTCCATCCATCCATCCATCCATCCATCCATCCATCCATCCATCCATCAATCCAATCCATCCCATCCTCGCTGCCAAGGTGAACCCGAGTGTGCATCTGAACAAAGACCAGAGGGGCTGGCTCGGGGTGGGGGTGTGAGGCTCGGGGTGTGCCCCCTCCCCTCCCGGCTGCCGCAGGTGGGATGAGGCTGCAGCACCATGTCCCCCACCCCGGAGGACACGAGCTGGAGGTGTAAAACGAGCCCAAGAAAAACCCCGACTGCCCCATAAAATGAAAGGCTGGAGCTAAATGCCATCGAGGCTGTTCGCAAGGGGTGACAGCATCCTCAGCCCGCTGTGCCAGGTGTGCCGGCGCTCCTCCAGCGGTGCCTGCATCCTCATCCTCCCTGCCTCGCGTCCCCCACATCCCCAGGGGTCACCAGCCCGCGGAGGCAGCTCCGGCCGCGGCTGCGGCACCGCGCGGGGCTCC